GTGATAAGGGCCTGCAAATATAGTGATAAAGAATGTGAGTAGAGAGGTAGGGCATGGATTTGAGAGAAATTATAAGAAATAGAATGTAAAGGACTTGGCAAGTCTGGTTGTAGGGGGTTAATGGAAAAGGAAAGAAATCAACGATTACTTCACAGTTTGAAGCCAGGCATGGGTAGTGACCACACTCCACTAAACTGTCTCAGCAGACAGGCTAAACCAGATTGAGGGTATTCGATGGATCTCAAATCAGTTGGTGAGTTAGGGTGATGTCTGCCCTAAGCATTAGGACTCCATGTGGTGGAGTGGGCAGAAGAGGACAATTTGTTCAAATGGCCATGAAGGAAGCTGAAGCAGATGCTGTGGAGTGCTTAGAGTTTGGTCAGACATTGAAGATCCCAAAGTCATTCACTGCATCCCAGGCCACTGCCAATTGTCTTGACTTTTGTCCTACCATTGGACTTTGATGGCTGTGGAAGAGAGAGTGAAGCTGATTGTGCAACTCTGCCTCACTTCAGTTCTGTCCATATGTGAGTCAAGACTTCACCCTTGATGTCTTTGTTCCTCTTTGGAAGCTAAGGGCAAACAATAAGGTAATATAGTGAAGTTGAAAGGAGGTTTGAGAAAATTTTCTTTTTAAATGTTTTTTGAGATGCTAATAAAACATCCAGGTGGATATATTCAGCAGGAAATTGGAAATATAGGTTTGGAGTTCTAGGGAGAGATGGGGGTTAAATACATAGATTTAGCTGTCTTTTGCATAAAGATGGTAATTGAAGCCAAAGCAGTACATGAGATTACTCAGGGAGAGTATTTTAGAGGAAGAAAAGAAGACTTAGAATAGAGCTTTGAGGGACACCTATGTCTAGGATGCTGTAGGAAAAAGGTGAATTAGGTAAGGAGACCAAGAAGGAACTTGTCCAGGTGGTAGATGAACCGAGAGAACAATGTTATAGAAGCCAGGAAGAGACAGTATAAAGGAAGAGGGTGTGTTTGGGGTTGTCATATGTGGCAGAGAGGTCAAGTAGGGTGAGGACTGAGAAAGGGTCATTGTATTTACCATGTAAGAAATCATTGGTGACCTTGGAAAGGGGAATTTCAGTAGAGTGGTGGAGATAAAATGCCTGATTTTAAAAGTTAAGGAGAGGGCAGTTAGGTAGCACAGTGGGTAGAGCACCAGCCCTGGAGTCAGGAGGACCTGAGTTCAAATTCGGCCTCTTGATACTCACTAGCTGTTTGACTCTGGGCAAGTCACTTAACCTCAATTGCCTCACCAAAAAAAAAAAAAGAGTGAATGTTGAAAAATAAATATTTTTTTTACAAAGTTAAGTAGAGTAGACAGAATGTAGAATATTCTTTATAGAAGTTTAGATTGAAAGGAGAAGAGAGATGATAATGATTTGAGGGGATTACAAGGTAAAAGAGGTGTTTTTTAGGATGGGGATACCAGAGTATGTCAGAACACAGCTAGGTGGCAGAGTGAGTGGTTGGTGGGCCTGGAGTCAGGAGGACTTGAGTTCAAATCCAGCTTCAGATACTTATTAGCTATGTGACTCTGGGCAGGTCACTTAACTCTGCCTGTTCCCTCATCTGTAAAATGGGGATAATAATAGCACCTACGTCATAGGGTTGTTGTGAGAATCAAATGAGATACTATAGAAAGCTTTTAACAAGGTGCCTGACACATAGTAAACTCTATATAAATGTTAGTTGTTATCATTATTATGAAAAGTTTTGACTTCCTAGGATGTACAATGAGATCTCTTAGGCACCTGCCTCCAAGGACCAAGTGCGCTTTTTAAAAGCAAGACTGTCTGTGTATGTGCATTTGTGCTTTGCCTTACACAATAATGGTGTTCCTGAAATATGCAATATAAAGCAGCTTTTTGGTAACTCATTCTTTGTGCACTAAAGCAATCTCAGTACAAAAAAGAGCATGCAATAAATCTTTCTATAAACTAGACAATCATTTTGCAGTGTCAGTAGTGACTCTGTAATGTATCTGTTTTGAAAAATCAGATTTTCATATCCTTGTAGACAGTCATGTCAGTATTGTATTTTATTGTAGAGAGTTTTATATTTCCCAGAATATGATTAATTCTGGTTTATCTGCATTCAGGTAACAGTAAGCCATGTTAACAAGGTTCTGCTGGTTGGGCATGGCTGTATGCAAAAAGGGCTTTTTTGTTTGTATTTTTTAGATTTAAACATTTAAATTTTCCCAATCCCATCTGTTTAACTTAAGGAGATCATCCCCACTGATGACCTGACTTTCTGACTTCTGATCTCAAGTCTCGTTAGTCTGTGTGCTTTGTCTCCTTTTCTCAAAATGACTTCAGGATTTCATTCTTCCTTCTGGATCCCAAACCTCTTACCCCATTTTATGATGATGCCCCCTTTCTTCCTCAGTTATTTATATGTAGCTTATTCATGACAATCCAAGTCCTCCTTCCAAGTACTGACCAGTCATCTCAAGACTTCGAGCAGTAAGAATGAGTCAAAGAAGGAGTACGAAGGTCTGCATAGAAGATAATGAGTTTTTCTCTGAATTTATGACTTATATGCATGCAAATCCAAATGTAGGTTATTTGAAATTACCTACTGTTATATATTAAACATAGCTTGCCTCTGTAGGCATAGATGATAGTGTAGGGAAATATTGGCTCATTCTTCGTCCTAATATTTCTCATGTAACATTTCCTTGGAAAGTATGGAATGAGAATAACAGTAGTGTTTATGTCTATAGGGCCAAAACAGAAGCAGTCCTAAACATGCTAGTAGCTAATCCTAGAGAAAATTCTCACTTGTACAGAAACTGAATCCAGTTGAAAGTATACCCTTTTCCCCCTACATTTGTATCACTAGTTGTTTACTTCTTAGGCCCCTTGGCAGAAAGTGGCCCCTGACACCTGCCCTGTCTAAGGTACATCATGTGACTTCAGAGAATCAGACCTGCCCTTGATTATCAGGTACAGCATCAGTAACTACAGTGACTAGGAGGCCAGAGTCTCTTATTTTAAACCATGGGGTTAAATATTAAGAAGGCAGTGCCCTTAAAGTATCCCTTATGCAGGGATAAGGGTTGTTTCTCAGTTTATTGCTTCCAGTAAATCAGAAGTTTTCAGGAAAGAACCAGGTGGCAAATTCAGCTCGTAGACTCCAAATCCACAGCCAGGATGAGCTGGCAGAACTGGTTCACCTTTAGAAGGAGGTGAAGCCTTGAGTCATCCAAAGCTGAAGCCAGTTTCTGTGGTATTCTCATTTCTTGGAGTTTGGCCAGTGAGCCTCAATATACCCACCCCTATATGATAAAGGGAAAGAAGATCCTAAATGTCTGCTAGCTACTGTGTATAGCATGGTGTGTTCACCTTCTGGCTGGTAGCCAGCCCTATCATTTCTTCGGTACATTTCTCACATCTGTCTGGGTATTTAGAAATTTTTCCTGAGACTTAAGGGCCAAGAGTCTGAAACTGATGTTAGAGATTGCTGAGAGAGAGTTGGCCAATATTTCTCTGTATTTGTTTGAGGAACCCCTGGTCTTCCCCTACAGAACTTGTAAAACCTGTTGGTGGCCCTTGTAGCTGAATATTGCCAGAGGAGGTCAGTATTCAGTGCAGGGCACATTGAATAGAATCAATAAGGGGAACAGAAACTCCTACCCCATTGTCATACTTAGGATTATTCTTTGGTGATGGTGGTCAAAGAGAACAGATATTTTATGCAAGCTTATAACGCAGCTCAAATCTGTATCAGATGCATGTGAACAACTGCATAGTTGGTTCTACCTTGTATGTGAGTGCTAAGAAGAAGGTAGAGGTGTTGGAGAAACAAGAGTAGGAGGCCGGGGGGCTCATTAGTATAGAGGTTCAAAAGTAGAGGTTGATTATTGCACAGCCCTTTGGTTTATATGAAATTCATTTTTATACCTCTTTCTCTGACCATGATCACCAAGAATAGTGGTGATTCACACTTTATCAAGATCATTTTCCTTTGCCTTCTGCAGGAAGAATATGAAAGTAGAGGTGTTATTTTTGTAGTTCTCTTCAACTGTTTCTCCCAGTTTCTAACAAAATTACCTGGGTCAGGGTCTGATCCTATATGGACTTTGTGAAATGCATTCAGCTGCACTCAGAGGAAACTGTTAAGTGTTGAATAATATTGTAAACATTTGGGTGAAAGATTAAAGATTTCTAGAAATAGTTAAGTGAAGAATTCAGGACCTAAACCAGTCAGTTCTATTGATCGGAGTTCGCCTCAGTGTCAGCACTTGGAAAATCTTGGGTTGCCCAGGGGATTATGGAGAACAGCCTCATACCCCATATTATACCCTAACCATCACCCCCAGCTCCTCAGCACTCCCACTTTACATAGGATTTCTCATGTCATCTGGTTAAATGTTACAAAAAGGCTTACGTTCTTCACAATTTCTAAGTATCTGAGATGCTGAGATGATATTGATAATAGACATCCTAAGCTCCAAGCAGTAGCTTTAGCTCAAGGCAGACCCCTGTCAGTTTTACCAGGTATAAGAGAGTCTGCACCATCCTAAGTAGAACGACATGAGGGCCAAGTCATATTCATTTGCAAAGTTGTGCAGACAAGTTTCACTGTTTTCTCTTGCTAGGATTTTATTAATTCTTAAACTACAAGGTTTCCAGTTTAGGTCAGGAAGTTTGTCTTTGTAGAACTAGAGTTACATAAGCTGTAGTTGCAAACTTTTAACATTTATTGTAGCTATTACCTTTGACCTCTAGAGTCTTGTACACAAATGTGTGAACCAGAGGTCAACAAGAAGAGCATAGTATTACTCTCATGGCATCATAATTGTTCCTGAACACAGAATTTGCCCATGGCATAAAGGTCATTTGGAAAAAGAAGTCCATATGCGGTACACGAAAATATAGAAACCCTTTTAGGATAGCAAAAGAACCAGAAACAAAGATACGCATCAGTTGGGGAATGGCTAAACGAATTGTGGCAAATGAATGTAATGTTTCTTACAGGCACATCTGCAAGAAACAACAAACGTGAATACAGAGAAGCATGGAAAAGACTCAAATGAACTGATGAAAAATCGAGTAAGTGGAGCCAAGGAAAACCATAAACATGATGATTGTGACAATGTAAGTGGAAATAACCACAACCACAAAAAATTGAAAATTAATGTTACTGTATTACAAAGAACAAGCTTAGTCCCAAAAAAGAGATGAGAAGATACCTCCCTCCTCACCATCCTTTGCAGAGGTGAGGAGGTCTGCATTGTAATTTTTTTAATGTATTGATTGGTTTTGCTGACTTTTTTCTTCTTCCTCTTTAAAAAAATATTTTTTTTTTGTTACAAGAGATGGTTCTCTGGAAGGGGAAGAGGAAGGGAGGGAAGGTTACAGAGGAGAATTTAGGTTATGTAAAAACAAAAGTTACCTATAAAAATTTATTTGAAAAATAGAACTTGCCATTGGGGAACTAACAGTCAGATAGATGCATTGATTTTGGCTGACAAATAAATAGAGGATACATTGGTGGCTAGGGAGAGTAATAAATGAACAAAAATTCAGTTAAATAGATAGGTGTCTGGTGCCTACTATGTTCAAGACTGCTCTAGCAGTGGGGCATAAGGGAGAGCTGAGAGGGAGAGATGCATAAAACATGGTTCCTGCCCTTAAGGAGTCTCTGGAGTTGTATAGGGAAGAATAAGACATGTATATATGTGTGCGCATGCACACACACACACACACACACACATACACACACAGAGACACACATCCTTCAGGGTAGTGAGAGAGAAACAAAAATGGTGATATGAGACCTCAGAAAAAAAAAGGATTTCTCTTAGTCTGTAGAGGGGAGACTCAAAGATTGATTCATGGAGATTGCATTGGGCCTTAAAGGATGAATATATGAACACCAGGTTGAGGGAATTCTAGGCATTGGGAACAAATGTGGAGGTGGGAGATTGTTGGACATGGTCATAGAATGGTGAGAAGTCTGGTTCGGCTAGAGTATAGAGAAGTATGATTTCTTTGTTTTCGATCTGTGATTTTATCTCTGTGAGCTACTCCTGGTAAAGAAACTGTCTGCTAATGTAGCTCCCCAGCTCATCTGTCACTTAGAGTCATAGAGTTGTCTGAAGCATTGAGAAGTTAAGTGACTTTGGTTATGGTCACACAGCCAGTGTAGGTCAAAGGCAGAATTTGAAAACAAGTCGACCTGACTCTAAGGCTGACCGTCTATTACATGATGCTGTATTATGTATAATATCGAGCTGGAATTGGAGCAGAATTTTCGAGGGTCTTGAGCGTTGAGGTCAGGGAGTTTGAATTTTAAGCTCTCGGCAGTAAATAATGGCTAAGATTTTTTTAAAAATACTAATATGAGGTGAGCAAAGCTAAATAGATTAAAAAGATCTTTATTGTAGCAGCATCAAGTATGAACTGGTGAATAGTAGCAGAGAGGCTTAGGTTATTTCAATAGAGCAGGCAGGAAACTAGAGCAGGCCACTAAAAGTATGGGACTGTTGTGGATGAAGAAGAGAGATTTCTACAGAACCACAGAATTTTACATATAGATTGCACCTTAGAGGCCATCTGGTCTAACTCATACCTGACTGAGAATACCCTTTACAGTGTCCCAAAGCCTTTACTTGAAGACCTCTAGTGAGATAAACAAATTCTACTTTTGGATAGCTCTAATGGGAAGGAAATATTTCTTTCTTTGAGCCTAATTTGCCTCTCTCTCACTTCCCCCTGGTACTGCCTTCTGGAGTAAAGCAGGACAAGTTTAATCCCTCTTATCTATGACAGCCGTTCAGGTATTTGAAGACAATTATTATGTTTCTCCAAGATTTCTCTCCCAATTCTTTCAACAAGCCCTATGTGACATGATCTGGCCCTTTACAACCTTGGTCATTTTACTTTCAACACTTTCCAGCTTATCATCCTTAAAATATGGTGCCAAGAACTAAACATAGCACTCTAGATGTGTCCCAACCTAGGCACACTATCACAGCACTCCCGATGTGTTCTGACCAGGGCAGAATATCCTGTCCTTTTTTTAATGGATGTCTGCCTTCCAATGTAGCCAGGACCACGTTAGCTTTTTTTGGCTGTTAAGTTGTACTTTTAGTCTGCTGGCCACTAAAACTTTTAGGTCTTTTTTCAGTTGAATGGAAATACCAGATTGGGACCCATCCCCATACACCCCAGTGTGATGAAGCAGATGTGCTCACTTCTTATTTCCTTCTTCCACTTCTTCTTCACTGTTCTTCCTACTCCTGCCATGATTTTGTTATTCTTTCACCTCTCCCTCCCCCTTCTCTTCCCTCAAAAGCCCCCTTACTCATTCTTTCTCTTTCTCCCTATCTTAAAGAGAGGTACAGCAGTAAAAAAAGCTCCAACTTCTAATGTCCTGTGTATGGTCCTTAGTCATGAAACTGAGTTCAACAAATGCCTGTTAAGAGCCTTTTGTTGTTGTTGCTGGTCGTTTATCAGTTGTGATCTGACTCTTTGTGACTTCATCTGGGGTTTTCTTGGCAAAAGATACTAGAGGGGTTTGCCATTTTCTTCAGCTCATTTTACAGATGAGTAACTGAGGCAAACAGGGTTAAGTGACTTGCCCAGGGTCACACAACTAGTAAGTGTCTGAGGCCAGATTTGAGCTCATGAAGATGAGTCTTCCGAATTCCAAGCCCAGTGCTCTGTCCACTGTACCACCTAGCTGCCCTGTGTTAAGAGGCCTACCATGTACTACAACATAGGCGAGTAACAAAAAGACATGAGGCAGTCCTTAGCTTTGTGGAGCTTACTGTTGAGTGTGTGGATGTGATCTACAACTGGAGTACAAAATTATAAGAGATAAAAAAGGTGCTTCCTTTAGACCACATGATGTCCAAACAGAATGAGGAGAGAACAATGGAAAAGCCGGTTGTGAAGTGTTGATAAGATATCTGCTCTGTATGGATTGTGGAGAATGGCATAATCTAGAGAATTACTTTGTGATTCAGTATGGATAATTTCTAACCCCATAGAAGCTGAAAAAAGAATGAAGCAGTTGAAAGATTTATTTCAGGATTGTGACCTTAACATCTCAATCACAGAATAGTTTCTTGCTTTAGAGCTCAAACTGCTGAATCTGTTTTTGCAAGATATTTCTTGCCCCTCAAAAAAAAAACCTTTAAAAACACCTAAACTTTCTTTCTAGCTACAGTTTTGTTTAGAGAACTCTTGGATACAGAATTTTTCTGCATATCTAAGCAATTGCATAAATCTGGTATAATTGCTCAGATATAGATGGTGGGAAGACAGAAAATGCTAGAGAAACTGATTTTATCTTAGAGAAATCCACTAGACAGAAACTACCTTTCATCCTCGGGCAGCCCTTTAGGTGAGTGGCCATACCAGGAGATGGAATCAAAGAATCATCTTTCATTTAGCTGCAAATGGATGAACATAAACTCCTTTGGATTATCTGCAGTATGACAGAGTCACCTTCAGGGCTTTATCGGGCAAAGATGATAGAATGATTTTGGCTTAATAGAGGCTTGAAAAGAGCCCCAGAAGTCATTCGTTCAGTGTTCAATATTTGTTTATTTTTCTTGATTCACATCTAAAATTAATTTTGCTAGATACATTACAAAAATTAATATGAACATATATTCAAATTTTTTTTATAATAAAGGATATAATGGGGCAGCCAGGTGGTACAGTGGATAGAGTACAAGGCCTGGAGTCAGGAAGACCTGCATGCAAATTTAGCCTCATACACGTAGTAGCAGTGTGTTCCTGGACAAGTCACTTGCTCTCTTTCAACCTCAGTTTCCTCCATCTGTAAAATAAAAATTGCAATAATAGCACCTACATCCCAGGTTTGTTGTAAGGATCAGATGAGATTATATTTGTAAAAGCGTTTACATAGTGCCTGGCACATAGTAGACACTAAATAATTATTGGCTATTATTATTATATAACTTAATATTAACAGCTTATAAATCACCATGTATCACCTTCAGGTTCCTTTGTCCGTTCACATTTTAACAGACATTAAGCACTTACTGTAGGCTTCAATTTCCTAAGTGTAGAATGGGGGTTACTAGATGACCACTGAGATCCCTTCCAGCTCTAAATCTAAAATGTTACTACTTTTTTCTCATTACTGTAGGAGATATAAAGATAAGTAAGACAGGGTTTTTTTCCCCCTCAGGATCTCACAGTGAAATGTAGACTGATAAGCTATAGCACAAGAAATTAAAGGAAAAATGGCAAGAAAGTTCTACAGTGCTATGTTGTTCAGAGGGGAAATACCCTAGGCATAGGGAGTGGCGTGAGCTAACATGTGAAAACTGGAGAGTACAAGGCATGTTTAGGCAGTCCTGAGGAGTCTAATTTGACTGTAATCAAGGGTACATGCAAGGAGTAGTTTTAGATAAGACTGGGAAGGTAGGGTGGAGCCCAGTTAAGGAGTTTGAACTATATTCTGTAGGTAGTGAAGGATTATGGAAGATTTTTGAATGGAGAATGGGTGATATGATTAGACCAGTGATTCAGAATGTTTAAGCTGGAGCTAATTTTTATGATGCCTTGAAAATGGCAAGACTGGAGGCAAGAATACCAGCTAGGAGGCTGTTTTTATTTTGTTAAAAATAATTAGAGTTGGGGTAGCTATGTGGTCTATGTGTGAAATATGTTGTCCAGCTAGACATATCTATTGAGTGTATTTTATCATAGAGAAAATTAAAATCATGGTTTCTGATCGTTTAACTGAGGCTGTCCTTCATACTGGTGGATTACAGAGGACAAGAGGACAGAAGATCACCCACCTGGGGTATGGTGAAGTTCAGTCTAAACCATGAATCTTTTAGTAACATGTGCTGTTAACTTTTTTAAAAAATACATTTTTATTGCTATCTTTTGTTTATTTTATAAATCACAAAAATTTCTTCCTGTACCTCCCTTCCTCCTCCCCCTTCCAGAGAGCCATATCATATAACAAATAATATTTTTTAAAGAAAAAGAGAAGGAAGAAGAGGAGAAAAAATATCAGCAAACCTGATCAGTACTTCAAAAAGATTCAGAAAATACACATGCAGTGTACCACACCCATGGATCTCTCATCCAGTGGAGGTGACTTC